CTCTCTCTCTCTCTCTCTCTCTCTCTGGGTGTCTCTCTCTCCCTCTCTCTCTCTCTCTCTCTCTCTCTCTCTCTCGCTCTCTCGCTCTCTCTGTCGGTCTGTCTGTCTCACTCTCTTTTACTCTCTCCGGTTCGCTCTCTCGCCTCACTCTCTCTTTAAAACACTTTTAACTCTTTTTATAGATATTAAAACGTTATTAATTCTGTTAATATATATATAATATCTAAGGTTCCTCTAGTGAAGACCAATTTAGTTTTTGAAGACATTTTCTGAGCAAATAACCGTGTGTAGTGATCATGAGTCGCGGGATGCGGCACACGTACGTTCGCACTGCGCTCATGCATATACATTGCACGCGCCGTCTTGATTTTACGTGCCACTTCTGTCCGCTCGCCATGTCTTATGTTACAACAACGTAGATTCGGACTATATGCTAACACATAGTTTATAGATGCGCCAGTGAAGCTATGCTAGCCATCTATAGTTGTCGTGGAGCTAGACAGCGTGGACATCAGCGTAGCAGCTTAGTGAATTGCACCTAAATCCGCACCGTATGTACATGCTACGCTGACGTCTGTTCATTTGCTTGATGAATCGCACATGAGCGCCACCGCGTGCCCAGGCCCAGTTTACTCCAGCCGGTCGTGCTGAGCACCTTTAATGAATCTAGCTCCTCTATAGTAGCCTGCTCTACAGGGAAGCTTGGAGTGCTGGCAGGTGTGCTACTTGGCCAGTCTCCGGGGACGTACTGGCTTCTGCAGTGCAGGGAGCCTGGGAACATTCCATCGAAATCAGCGAAATGAACCAATCAATGCGCGTTTTGTCTGCTGCTTGATTTTACATAAAACCTTTAATATTCACTACCACGAGCTCTGATGATAACAAATATATTGTCTTATATCACCTCCTTATACCAATTCATATTCGCGTAAACTCCCAAGGCCTTCGTGAACACCAGCTTTCTATTTCAGGTGGCATGTGGAAAGGAAGGCCAGTCTTACGGCAGAAGGAAACGGGAGCTAGAGGAGGCAAGTGTACAAATTATACCCGCGTCTTTATTACAAACTAATAAGGAAAACAACCGAGATGATAAAAATAACTACGTATTACCATGGAATAGTTTGATAGGTTTAATATAGTACACATAATAGCATATAATTCAGCACATTACAGATTTACGATATGCTACACGCCTAGTCATTATGAAACGCGACTGACCACTTCTAATATCTCGTTGTACTCAGACAAGTATAAATTCACCTATATATATATATATATATATATATATTATATATATTATATATATACGCATTCTACACTTTACATACGCATATGAACATGCACACACGCACGCACACACACGCTCTCACACATATATACGAGTGAGACAGTCATATAAAGATATATTTACCCATTGCCTTCTCAGGTCTGGGCACCTCCCATTAAAGAAAAGAAAATCACAACAATGTGGATCGTGCAAGAGCGGTCGCCACGAGAGGGCAGCCCGATCGCCAACACTAGCGACCTCTACTCGGCGGAGGCGTCACAGAGCGCGCCAGCAGTTGCACCGCCGCAAGGGGGCGCCGATGTCGCCCCGCTGCGCACCTGTGTCACCGAGAACACGCTCGCGGTGGCGCTGGTTGCTACCGGCGCCCTGGCGGCGACGCTCACGCTCACGCTGTCGTGCCTAGTGTTTACGCGCCTCGCCCGCAGAGGGCAGCACCAGAAGGAGGATGACGAGGAGAGCTGTAAAGGCGGTGGTGGCGGCAGTGAGGGCGTCGGTGCGGACAACTGGACGATGCGGTGGGCATTCCCGCTGAACATTATGCGAACGGGCGCGATTAGAAGCCAGCGTCATGCTGTCAGGTAGGGATGGCTTACACAGACATGTGTGCTACCTCTCTACACAGACGATGCCAGCATTAGCAGAAGATAATACAGTCAGCAGCAGGAGCAGGTGTCAACATAAGGCAACACTGTCAGCAGAATGTGTTAATGTCAGCAGAAGATAACATTGTCAGTAGAGGCTGGTGTCTGCAGATAATACTGGTGTCTGCAGATAATGCCGGTGTCGGCTGATAATACTGGTGTCTGCAGATAATGCTGGTGTCGGCTGATAATACTGGTGTCTGCAGATAATGCTGGTGTCGGCAGAGAATGCTGGTGTCTGCAGATAATGCTGGTGTCGGCAGAGAATGCCGGTGTCGGCAGATAATGCTGGTGTTGGCTGATAATGCTGGTGTTGGCAGATAATGCTGGTGTCGGCAGATAATGCTGGTGTCGGCAGATAATGCTGGTGTCTGCAGATAATGCTGGTGTCGGCAGATAATGATAATGCTGGTGTCGGCAGATAATGCTGGTGTCTGCAGATAATGCTGGTGTCTGCAGATAATGCTGGTGTCTGCAGATAATGCTGGTGTCTGCAGATAATGCCGGTGTCTGCAGATAATGCTGGTGTCTGCAGATAATGCCGGTGTCTGCAGATAATGCCAGTGTCGGCTGATAATGCTGGTGTCTGCTGATAATGCCGGTGTCAGCAGATAATGCTGGTGTCTGCAGATAATGCTGGTGTCGGCTGATAATGCTGGTGTCGGCTGATAATACTGGTGTCTGCAGATAATGCTGGTGTCGGCAGATAATGCTGGTGTCAGCCAAAGATGTTAACATGTGGAGGAAGGATGCTACTGTAAGCAGCTGCTGATGCTAATGTGAGCAGACTACTTAGTTTGAGCTGTCGCATAAGCTGATGATCCTCACACTAGCTAATTAAGCAAATAGGGAGGTGCCTTAGCCACAGCCAAGACCATAGTGGCTGTTGGTCGCCCTAGAACTAGCAAATTCTTCTTCATGTGACGAGCTGGCAACCAGCATTGCATACTTACGTGTATGTAAATACTGACGAAACGCCACCCCTTGCTCAAACCAGTGATTGCGATTGACGACAAGAGTTTATGTACATTTTTACACACGTTCTTTAGTGGTGTCAATATTTTTTAATAAAATACGCACATAGTATATACACGTACAGAGAGAGCGCTGGAAGAGTTCTAATATAACAAGAGCCGCAGAACGACTGGGCTCATCTGAGGTCTGTTGCTACGGTTATAAACGTAACATTTCAGTCGTGCGAAGTCCTATGTAAGTTTTCCACGATCACACAAGTACCATCAAACACAGTTCAGTCCTTTGTTAACAGTCAACAAATCCATGTTTAACCCTCCTCTTGAGGGTCGAAAGGTTATCAGACACTTACTCTTCGCACGTCAGTGGGAAGCACATTTCATGGTCCTTTCAATAAAGTGATAAAAATAGTAGGTCAGCGCTGAAACAAAAAAGTTTTCCACTCTGTCTATTAGGCCATGTCCTCAGAAAATGTCTAATATCGGACCTTTCCTTCACTGCCCTTTGACCTGTGACCTCCAATTTCGCACTGGTGATGGGTTTCCTGCCCATCACACTATACACCGAATATTGAGAGCATAGGTCGAGCCGTTCAGATTTGTGCCACAATTCCGTATTTCCTTCTATACCTTAAGTTAAGGGGGAAATATTCCCCCTCCGTTGACACATCTTGACCTTTGACCCTTGACCCCCAAATTGGTCAACCGGAGTCCTTTTCACGATCCCCCCAACGTCCCGAATATCGTGACCATACGTCGACCGGTTAAGATTTGTGCCCAACTGTTGACGCACGGACGCACAGACGGAAGCACGCTCATGCGATTCTACAAGCTGCTTCCGACTTCGTCAGATTAGCTAATAAAACAAGAGCCGCAGAGCGTCTGGGCTCATCTGATGTCTGTTGCTACAGTTATAAACGTAACATTATAAGTCGTGCGTAGTGACACTATTGGTAGGCGCAGATATGCAGATACGCACTTGCGTACACATCATTTCAGCAACCTTCTGCATTCTGCATACCTCCCAGATCCCATTGGTTGATACAAATCGCGTGCCTCAAACTCCTGTTTTATGGTGCATTGTGACCCTAACCCTAACCCTATTAAAAAATAATAATATTAATTGTTGTAAAAATTATTTGTTGTTATTAAATTGTTGTAAATAAATCATGTAAATATTTGAGTTAATTGGGGAAAAATAGTTAAATAAATAAAGATAGAAAAATACAGAAAACAAGTAAATAATAAAAAATTAGATGGGATTCGATCCAATGACCTTTCAGCCCTGACGCCCGTGCTGTGCGCATCCTGCTATCCAGGCTTATTGGGTTTCTAGATTATGGATGTGCCATGAATATGACAACACTGTAACGTCATTGAGGCAGTTTAGGAATCCATGTTTAACCCTCCTCTTGAGGGTCAAAAGGTTATCAGACACTTACTCTTCGCACGTCAGTGGAAAGCACATTTCATGGTCCTTTCAATAAAGTGATAAAAATGGTAGGTCAGCGCTGAAACAAAAAAGATGTTCACTATGTCCATTAGGCCATGTCCTCAGAAAATGTCTGATATCTGACCTTTCCCCACTGCCCTTTGACCTGTGACCTCCAATTTCGCACTGGTGATGGGTTTCCTGCCCATCACACTATACACAGAATATTAAGAGCATAGGTTGCCGTTAAGATTTGTGCCGCAATTCCGTATTTCCTCCTATACCTTAAGTTAAGGGGGAAATATTCCCCATCCGTTTACACATCTTGACCTTTGACCCTTGACCCCCAAATTGGTCATACCGAGTCCTTTTCACGATCCCCCACCCCCGACGTCCCGAATATCGTGACCGTACGTCGAGCGGTTAAGATTTGTGTCCAACTGTTGACGGACGGACGCACGGATGCACGCACGCTCATGCAATTCTACAAGCTGCATCTGACTTCGTCAGATGATTAAAAAGTTACGTTAGCAGGAAAATTATGATTTCATATATATATATATATGCTTTTGTTGTCTCCTACAACTTTTCTAAAACAACTCAGGATGCACTGAATTTTCACATTGCATCCACTTTGCAGCAGGTTTTGCTACCTATCTTTTGTACATGTTTCGAAGCTGCATAATCGTCCTTAGTTATTACCTCCGCCCAACGAAGTTGGAGGAGGTTATGTGACCGGTCTCGTGTGTTCGTGTGTTAGTGTGTTCGCGCGATCGATATTAGCGCGTCGAGTCAGCAAGCCAGCCAGCGCAGCAAGCCAGCGAGCGTGTACATGTGAGCGAGCAGCAGCAACGAGCGGCTGCTACGAGCGAGCGAGCAGATGTCGCTGGCGGAGGTATGCACTCTCCGTGAGTGCCCTCTGTCTAGTTACAGCTGTGTTGACATCGTGCACAATGCTCCATTCTGATCCTTGAACACTGGGGTCCAGAAGTCCAGGCTAGAAGCAGGGATCAATCCTAAAGCTGCCGATCATTCCCAGATTTTGTCGTCAATCCCAGCACTCCACATCACTATCTAGATCTCTCCGTCTTTCGCTCTCTTCCTCTCTCGCTCGCTCACTCTCTCCTTCTCGTTCGCTCCTGGCGTCATCGTTGTCATCATCGTCGGTGCTGTACAGCAAGCCGTTCTGGAACATGTCGCCATCACCGCCGCAATGTAGATCATAGCAATCGTCCAGCAATGCGTCGACGTCATCGTTATCCCTGTACTCATCATCTGAGCTGTCATCTGCAAATTACCAGAAGGTGAGAAGATGGAGGATGCGGTCACCACGGCGATGGTCGAACAATAATTGACGTCTACTGGTCCACTGCTAGCGAAGAACAGAGGAGCTGGCTGGAGTTAATAAGAAGCCTAGCTACACAAATGATCACAGACACGATGACAGGAAGAGAAAAAGAGACAAGAAAAAGATGGTGAAAAAAGCGAGGCGTAGAGAGAGAAAGATAGGTAGAGACACAGAGAAAAACAGAGAGAGGGGGAGGAAGAGAAGGAGCAAGAGTGAGAAGGAATGAGAGAGAGAGTGAGAGAGAGACAGACAGAGGGGGAGGATGAGGGGAGGTACACAGGAGGGAGAGGGAGACGAACCTTCAGCATAGATAAAGTTACAGTATTCGTGCTGGTCAGGCCTCATGTTGAAGCGGCATCGATTGACAAGCAGCACCTGCAGCTTGGAACCCTCTATGTTCTTAAAGGTTTCAATGCTGGTATCTGTTAACAGTGAGAGGTGTCAGGCCAGTGTTACGACGACGATGAAATTCCCACGGCCACCATATGTAAATTCAAGCGATTCCAGTGTTCATCTTTACACTTAATAAACAGCGAAGATCTCACGTGATAGACAAAGAGAAGAGTGCGCACGAGTGGGGGAGGGGCGAGTTAAAATGTGTCTAGAAAATACCTCTGTGATTCACGTGGAGATTCTTATTTACTGACTAGAAAACTCCTGGTGGTAAAAATAAAAATTGTGTATGCCGTAATTGTACTCACCGCCTGCAAGCAGCTGCAACGTGACGTCGTTCTGACGTTCCTCGCAGGCTCGAAACAAGGTACGCACGAGTTCAAAGGTCATGGCCTCGTTACCACAGACATCCAGATGCCTGAGACGTGGACAGTGCAGGCCGATAGAGATAACACCTGTGCGTGATGTAAAAAAACAAATTAGGGTTTGTGGCGATTCTGCACTCTGAATGTATGCGCAAAGAAAACTGATAACGCAGCTCTCTCAAAGTTACGGTTATCAAAGATCGCCGTAAACTTCTTTTGAAAGTGTGCGGTTACATTCACGATTGGGATCATGAGGAGCAAAGCTTTGCAAAGCCTTTTAATCTGCAGACCCCTTGGCGATTTGCTTTGCAATAATTTGTTTTGTGAACCTTCAATGGGAACCAGCCGCTTTTCTGTGGAGCATAAACGTTTCATAACCACTGCACCAGCAGGTGCGTTTTACTGGCATGGAAAACTGCTTAACACGATATCTATACATATATCAAAGATAATCTACTGTACATGTTCTCAGCTGCCTATATCAGGAGTGAATAATAATAGATTATTATTAGATCTATTATTAATCACTCCTGATTATATCAATTTTATTGGTGACAATTATACATGCTGCTCATTTGGGTAGCAAAACCCCATTCATTCTTTTATAATTTCCGTCCGCGCGAATTAACATTGTGCGTCGTGTGTAAAGCGATCATGATTTATAAACCATCTCCAGCTTGGTTGTCACAACACACGAATGACGAGTGTGAGAATTTCCATGACACGAGCTATCATGGCGCGCGGTATTCTCGCTGCACTCTCACCTTTTAAATTCGGCGCGGGCGAATACTTCCCCCTCCCCCCCACCGCATAAACACACAATACAAATATAATTAACATGAAATAATAACGCGCCGCAAGTCGTCGTGCCACCGACACTGCCCGTCACCCTCGCAGCAACTCGGCTGGCCCTTATCACCCACCTTCGTCAGTGAGGCGTATACACGCCTTTACTTCCAGGACTTCAAGGCGCCCCCTGTAGGCGAGCTGTCGGATGCTGTCGTCGGTGACGTTGCCGAGGTAGTTGGCGAGGAGGCTCGTGAGACACGGCAGCTTGGCGAGCGAGCGTATGCCATCGTCCCCGACGCCGTTCGAACATGACGACACGTTCAGGTGCCTGTGAGAGAGAGCGAGGGGCATGTATTGCCATGGTTACGACCCCGACACCGTCCGAACATAACGACACGTTCAGGTGCCTGTGGGAGAGAGCGAGGGGCATGTATTGCCATGGTTACGACCCCGACGCCGTCCGAACATGACGACACGTTCAGGTGCCTGTGGGAGAGAGCGAGGGGCATGTATTGCCATGGTTACCACCCCGACACCGTCCGAACATGACGACACGTTCAGGTGCCTGCGAGAGAGAGCGAGGGGCATGTATTGCCATGGTTACGACACATCATCGCCATGCGGTCGTCGTTACTGGGGTCTCGTGGAAAACAAAGAAAGAAATTTGCAAGAAGCACACGTTATGACAGTCAAGAAAAGTCACCCCAGTTCACCAAGGGTCACACTCGTTCTCAGTATTCTACAGATGGCCAATTAATGAACACGAGAAGATCTGTCCATACCAATTAATTGTAATTTACTGTACATATTCATAATTGACCGGTGTTCCAATTATGCGACTCCGTCGGGTATCTTTTGCGTGGGCACATCAACTAATTAATCGACTGCAGATTTGTGTCGATCCATTTTTGTCAGGTCATTAAACTTGCGGTCACACGAGCGCAGCCCTGCAGAGTGAACCAAATGTGATTCAAACTCCCTACGCTAGTCTGTACTCACTGCAGATGCTTGCAGCCACTCGCCACATCACGCAGCACGCGGTCCGTAGTACCGGCATTTTCCGACAGATCTAGATGGCGAAGCTGCACCAGCTGCGACACACGAGAGAGGCCCGTCTCCGTCGTGGCTACGGGAAAAATCGTCACGTCAGCGCATACGAAGCAAATAGTGGTGGACTAAAGCTATGTATGCAGGGTGCATGAGGAGACCAGTTCAGATGGGCTCAGTAACAAAGAATTCTAAATTTCTAATTCGAAAAGGTTGACAAGCAAGCACACGCGTTAGTTTTTTCCATAAAAAAATATGCTCCGATCATCAGTTACATGATTGATATTTACAGCGACATTTGAAAGACTAACACATACTGCCATGCTAGGGTACTGCACGTGAATTTAACTACATGCATCAAACTACTCTTATCTAAACGTACTTATACGTGATCTCGCTAACAAACGCAGAGCGAACCACATCACACGAGATCACGAAGGCCCACCTTTATTCCCGGCCAGTGAGAGAACCCGTAGGTGGCGCAACCTGGTGGCCACAACGCCGACAGCGCCATCGGCGACGCGTCTGCAGCGGGCCAGCGACAGCTCCTGGAGGTCTGGACAGCGGTCAGCAATGAGCGAGAGAGCTTTCTCGTCGATTCGGCAACACTCGTCGAGTATGGCACACTGCAGCCGAGGCCCCAACTGGTAGAAACACTGCAACAAAGAGAGTCCTGTAAGACGCAGCAGTGGTCAGGGTCAGGGGTGAACTGCCACACCTAAATAGTGTACAAGACACCGCTACCTCTCACCATTTTATTCATAATCGTCAATGCATCTATGATTTAACGGCATCTCCGAATATGCAACAACAACCAATCGATATTATATACAAATCCAACTGTCGATGACTTTCACAGTAAAGTACCGCACTCGCTATGAAAGGTTATTGACAGACCCCACTGCGTGAGTAACCTCAGGACTATGCATGCTCGCCTAACAACTACGAGCCATCTACTTGTCTGCTACAACATCGTGCACCTTGCCCGATATCCTCGCGTTAGCCGACACATCGAGGTGTTCGAGTTTCTTGCAGTGCTTTAAGATGCTCCAAATAGCTTTGTTTCCAACGTCACATGTAGCCATGTGCAGAACCTGCAGGGATAAGGCGTAATCAAACAGTGTGTTGGCCAGAGACCCGTCTACCCATCTTTTGGACGGCCTAATCTTGGATGAGACGGATGAAATTTGATAGAGACGGCATGAGGGCGGCCCAATTTTCCCTGAGGGGGAAAACCCTTCCCACACACTCTCCCCTAGGGCGCTTACCGCCCTCAGCATCCTCGCTTCGCTCAGATGGTGAGACTCCCTGATTTTTTTTCCTGGATAACACCCTGTAATCAAATTATTCATCGCGCTGAACTTATAATGATGAGCTGACACATATGATAAATGTGTAACATATATAGACATAGAGATGCTATAGTGAACAGCAACATGTTTAATAGCGGTTACAGAGACACACACCTCTCTGCAAAGTGTAGGATCGTGAATAAGTCTGTCACTCGAAATGCATCACGTTGCGGCAGTGCGGACAGATTTTGGGCTAGTTTTTCAGGTAACCTCATCCTTCATGGTTGACGACAGGAGAACAGTGTGCTAGTTAACCTCAATCTTACTCTTTGCCGTAAGATAATTAGATGAAAGTAAGTCAGCTGATATGCTCTCAAATTATGCCGACTCACCCGCAGCTGGGGACAGCCTTCGCCGAGCGCTTGCAGTGCGTACGAGCACAGATTCATCTTATTCAGGTTAATCTGCTGCAGGCCGGGGCAGCTGGCGGCCACAGACGACAGCGCGCTCGCACTGAGCCCGTGCACGACAGACGACAGGTCAAGCTTCACGAGACTGTGGCAACCACGTCGCAGCAGAGCTCTCAACAGGTTGTCCGTGAGATCTACGATCAATCATCGATATCCTACGATCAATAGCCATGTAGTTGTATGCACGTGTGTGCTGTAACTATCTAAAAATTACATGAATATGCACATATTTACATGTGTTAATAAACTATTATATTACATGAATATGCATATATTTACATGTGTTAATAAACTATTATATTACTATGGCGTATTAGTATGATACGACGTATGCTTTGACGCATTATGAACTATGATGTTAGCATTAGATAGACAGAGAGAGAAAAGGCGAGAGAGAAAGAGGCGGGGGGATAGAGAGTTGGCGAGTGAACACACTTACAATGTTCAGATGCGAGACTGAACAAGCCTGTAAAGTCCAGTTCCTTCAAATACTGCCAGCTGGCGCGGGAGAGCCGGTACCAGTGTTTGCACACCCTTTCCATACTCACGCGGTCCTACATGGAGATAATTTAGTAACAAGATTTAATTAATAGACCTTAAATGTAATAATCTGGCACAAATATAACATAGTAATGCAACGCAACCGGAGTAATTATGATAGTTAAATTTAACTTTAATATTACTGCAAAATACTGCAAAATTATTCATTCATTCATTTTGCGAACACGACTGATCACACGGCCGCTTTATGCGATCGCGTCCTATCGTGAATCGGACCTCACTGCAACCAACCTTAATGCCGAGCTTCTGAAATATCAGCAGAAAGACGTCATCCGGTAGGCTGTTTACACAACACAGCAGTTTCTGTCCAGATGCCTCATCAGATTCGCTGGCAGGGGGCGCCGGCATTTCCCGGCATATTGACGACAAGGCTTCACGTTGGTGTTTTTCGAGCTACAAGACGTACAAGTCTACTTGCAGATGGAACGCAACAGTCGTTCTTTACATTTTACAAAGGCCAAATTACTAGATCTACTAAATCGCAATTTAGTTTACAATGCAATTAAGATTACCGTGCGAATAATCGTTACCAAGCGCTCGCATTGACTTACGTTTCGCTGCATGTGCAATTTCGACGCAAATGCCGGCTTGATAATGAGACAGCGGCCATGAATGGAGAGAGATTCCTCCGTAAGACTCAACATGGCCTCGGCACTGCGCGCCTCCCGGAACTCCACAAATGCAAACCTAGTCAGAGAAGAACATCTGCTCAAGAACAAACGAGATGGTGACGGGGGGAAATGCACACAACAAAACCACGTAGAATGCCCAAGTTTCAGTTCAAAATACAAGTAAGGAACTAAGATGTAAGTGTGAGTGAGAGATACAAAACGATCCCCAGAGAATCCTATGCAATTTGTGGGCTGATGTTATGCAGCCTGCTGGTTAAATGTACCACTGGATCACTTTTAGGCAGGGAAAATACGAAGAACGTGTTTAATAGCACTGCACATAGACATTGCTACACCTTGGTTGCATTGGATTAGAGTAGAGCTGTGCTGAAATTAGATGAGGTTGAATTAAATGTTAGTGTTTCTAGCAGATTTATATAATGCAAACCAGGCGCCAATGTCAGAAACGTCATGGACATTTACGTAATCAAGTCTAAACTGTCATAACGTTCGACGTGAAGTGTCGTGAAAAAGTGACATTTCAGATTCATGATAATCATGACGACCTACAACGTTTCTGACAATAGGGGGGTCCGGGCATACCACGTTTACCACCCCCACATCCCCAGCACACTGGCTGACCGTGGCTATGACTGACCGACTGGGTACGCGCGTTATCGTGCTAAACGACCGTGCCAGCAGCTGCCGCTCACCCTCGTGGTCGGCTACGCTTCTGGCTGTGCGGAACGACGACCTCCCGCACCTTGCCGAACTTCGCTAGGAGCTCTAACAGCTGACGGCGTGACGTCTTCCAGGAGATGTTGCCAAGGTAAAGGCGATTCACTTGAACAGCTCTCTCCTCCCTGGCGGGTTCTCCGTTGACATGTGTCATCGCTGTGACGGACCCAGCGCCATCGACCGTCGGCCTGCTGGAGGGACATTGCGAGGTGTTGGCGGTACTTTGCTGCTCTGTACTTTCCCGAGCTGCATCCTCCCTGCAATCTGTTAATCAATATTATAATATGTTGCATCTGTATATTGTAATTGTATGTAAATCATGTCATAGATTAGCTATGTTTGGAATTATGTGCATGTGAGACCTTAGATACAATAATGTAACCCAAACACAGGGGTAGGTTACATTATATTAGGAGTTAAAATAATGACAAATTTTTCATTATTAACTCCTGATTATGTATATATACCCCTACCCCTGTGTTTGGGACTATCTATCTATCCATGCATCCATCCATGCATGCATGCATCCATCCCATTCCATGCCATCCCATCCCCTGATCCCATCGCACCGCATCCCATCCCATCCCATCTCATAGCATCCGATGCTATCCCATCCCATGCCTTCCCATGCCATGCCATCCCATCCCATCCCGCCGCATCCCATCCCATCTCATGCCATTGCATGCTATCCCATCCCATCCCATCCCAAACAGTAAAAAATAATAAGAAATCAAAAGATAAAAGACATTAAAAATTAAAATTAAAAATTAAAAATAATACATACTACAGGGCTTGCCCTTAACTTTTTTTTCAGGTGGCCGGCCGGGCCACTTGAGTATGAGATTCAGGTGGCCAAATGGATTTTCAGGTGGCCCGGTTGCTACATTTATTAAATAATTTATTTGTATTCTAACTATGGGTAATGTGTTTTGGCAAATAATCGCA